CGAGCCCTGCCAGCCTGCGGTTCCTCCACCTCTCGCCCTACGGCCCCGCAGCGCGGGCTGCGGCCGCCCCTGCTCCCTGCAGCTGCAGACAGAAGCGGGTTTTGCCTGCCGCAGAGAGCCGGGGCTGCCTCCCGCGGGGGCCGGCGTCACAGCCAGCACCCCGACTTTTCTCATACACGCATGTTCCCGGCCTCTTAGCCGTGCTCTCTGCCGGCTCTACCTTTAGCAATTCATTTACGGACTCGAGGCAGGGTTATTTGTCCTTAAGGAACAAAGTCTTTGTCATGGCTGCCCAGGAATGGTAACGCTGCCCAGGAACGATAACGTGCCCTCAAACACGTGCTTCTTCACTCGGCATCGGGTGCACAAACAGCCCTTGGATGCCCAGATCCCCCCCCCACCTCACGTCAGGCCCACGCAGCCTCGCTGAGCTGGGTTTGCAATGCACGGGGACAAAGCTTTTCTCTTAATTTTTCCTAATTTCAGCTAACGAGGAAGGCAGTAGCATGGGACAGGTGACCGTGGCTGTTTCCAGCCTTCTTATGGTCCTTGTAAACTCCAGGGCAAATCCACTAGAGCGTTTCAAAGCGTTAGAGTCTTTTTTCTTTACAAGAACCAGAAACTGCTAACTGGTTTGTGCGTTTAACCTCCAGCTCCACCCTTTCATCCCCTCCTCTGTAAAATGGCAATAGGAGCCTCCTGTGTCGGAGGTGAATTGTGGGGATAAAGGGAATGAAACGTGGGACCTACGAGGGTGCCACAGCGTGAAGGAGCTCCAAAAGACGCAGAGAAGCAAACCTGAGCACCACAGCTCAGGAACAACTATTTCATTAGGGCTGATTTGATTTGTTTTGTAATTAAAAGTCAGACTGGTCCAAGCCCCTGCTGTGGCTAGAGCCCCGGCGCTGTACAAGCCTGCGCAGTGACGCGTCTTCCTGTGATGAGACCGGTTCTCGCTGTAGAAAGCTGCACGGGGCGCGAGAGGCCACGTCGCTTTCAGCTCGCTTGAGAGCTCGGAGCAGCCGCGCACCTGGGGAGTCCTTGGCCCCGGTTTAAGAGCAAAAAGCCAGCACCTGCTGTGCCTCCTCGGAGAGAAGCAGCGGCTGTGGTTAAGGGTCTGTTACTGGTGGCACCTCAGCCTGTAGCAATACTCTCGTTTCTGGGTCTTGGAAGCGAACCCTGGTTTCATATTGTATCAATGGCCTTGGAACGCAGTCACCTGGCAGCTCTAAGTAAGTAGCTTAAATTTAATTAGCTGCAAGCTGTTAAATGCATCGAGAATTGGCTATTAGCGAGCTCACGCTAGACAGGAATTTTCACTCACCCGCTAGCTCGCAGGGAGCCGTTCGCGCCACAGCAGCGCCCGCTCACCTCGGGCCAGCGTGCAACAGCAGGCAGGACGGGCTCACCGGCCCCGGCGTGGCGCAGGGTCTGAAGGCGACAGCCTCCGCTCAAGAGGATTTTGGCAGGGGATTCAGATCCGAGCCGGGGCAGAGCCACCTCCTTCCCCAGCCGCGCCGACCCCAGCCATGGCCTGCTGGCAGGGCACAGCTCTGTCGAAGCCCAGGGCAGGGTCACAGCTCTTCCGCTGCTGACCCCGTAGCGCTGCCGGAGTCAGGACAGACTCAGCTTGGAGTCTGTCAGACTCAGTCTCAGAGTCAGGACAGACAGAGTCTTAGCTGGAGCAGGCTTATTTCTTTTTTTTTTTTCTGCAAAGGTGAAGTTAGAACCATTTTTCTCCAAGTCGGGGACTGTGGGAAGCTGAAGGAGCCGGTCCCAGCAGGGAGCTGCGAAAGCCACTGCTGAGGAGCCTGGCAGAGGTGCCAGGGCCCCGACACCACCCCGAGCCTCCCGTGCCGCTTGCGCCAGGGCCTTGCAGGGGGAAAACACCCTCGTTCCTCCCCTTTTTGGCCCCAAAGCGCGTGATTTCCCTGCTCAGTGGCTGCGGGTTGGGTTGGTTTCTCCTGCGCCGGCTGAGGCCGGTTGCAGCGCCAGGCGTTGGCGCTGGTACGAGCGCAGCCCAGGCCTCCCGTTGCTGCCTCGGTCATTAGCACAAGCGGGCAGCGGCTCTTCGCGAGCGGCCACGGCTGGGCCCGGTGCCCCGCGGCCAGCACCAGCCGGAGGAGCCGCCCCGCGGTACCGGTTTCACCTTGCAAAGAGGCTTTTAAAATCACGGAGAAGGGAACAGACGGGAGACCCCAAGGCGCCGTGGGCAGAGCCATCGGCTGCCCGGCCTCCCCCTGCCGCCCGCCATCAGTAACTCACTGTAATGAAGCCTGAGAGTATCGAGTTTGCCGGTGCTCAGCAAACCGTGGCCCCAAAACGCAGGCTCTCCCCGCGGCGCTGCGTTGAACAGACGCCCCAAAGCCCCCAGGCACACGCCAGTGCGAGCCCCCGGCTGCCGCCGTGGCCCGGGGAGCTGGTATTACCGGTGTCGGCAGGTGCTGGCTGCGGGTTTCCTCTTGCCCCGACACCTCCATGGGCTTCTCCAGCCATGGAGAGCCGGGGGGCTCCTCCTCTGCCTCGGGAGCCTTGTGCAACCTGCGTGCACCGGCTCCCCGGGGCTGCTGGGCCAGCAGGCTGGGTGGGTTGCCTTCCCCCTCCTTTTTTTTTTTTTTTTTCCTCTTTTTTTTTCCTTTTCCCCTCTCCTAAAGCCAGAGTTATTTGGTTTTTTTCCCCCACAGGTTCAGGTGGAGACGGAGGTGGAGCAGCGGGAGGAGGGACGGCCAACCCCTCTGCGGGCCTGGCGCCCGGCGATTGGGGCGGCGGGAGAGCCTGGCGCAGGGCAGGGGCTGAACCAGGGAGGGGGGAAATAAATAAATTATTTAAAAAGAAAAAAAGAGAGGAAAAGCAAGCAGTGATCTGGCAGGTCCAGTCGGCTGGAGCGGCGCACAGGGAGGCGACTGGCCTGCGGCCGGGGCACCAGGGGAGCTCCCAAGGTAAATGCAGCTCTCCTCCGCGTCCCTTTCCGCGTCGATGCCGTCTCAGCCGGGGTCAGCAGGGTTTCGCCCTCTCCCCACAAGCCCTGCTGCTCCCCCCCGGCTCTCTGGCCCCGCTTCCCCCTCGGCGTACGCAGCCCTGCGGCTGCCCTGCCACCATGCCACCCTGGTGTCGTCTGCCGTGCGTGGAGTGCTACAAACCCGGGGTGTCCCCAACCCCAAGATGCAGGGAACAGAAGCGCACTGCTGCCTGTTACCTGTGCTCCTCCCTCCCTGGCGGGCAGCAGCCCTGACACCCAGCTGCCCTTTGGGCACCCGGCGCCATTTCACGCCCCAGAGCAAAGGGGCCCTGGCTGGCTGCGCCTCTCCACGGGGCGGGGAGGCGTTCAGGGCCTCCCCGAGGTCTCCGGCCAGTCTGCACCTTGTTGGGGCTTCCTTATTTCCAACCATCAGAGTGAAACGATTTACGAGCGACCCATCCGGGCAGGACCGAGCAGAGCCGGAGCATCCCCACCAGGCAGAGAAAGCCCCACGCCACCCTGGTGAAGCATCTCCCATCCCCTTCCCCGTGCGAAAGCCGGGCGGGCTGGCTCGTCTCCATCCCTTGCTCTTCCATCCCTGGCCACAGAGAAACCCAGTTAATACTTTAGGTATAAATCGCTTTCCAGCTGCTCAAGCTGAACACGTTATAAGCGTCCCTCGCGTACCTTGACCCAGAGTTTCACCCCACGCCCGGCGCCAGGGCTGCTGTGCCAAAGGGAAGCAAGGTGCCTCCGTCGCTGCCCACGGCAGAGCAGCGCTGCCGACCTCCCCCCTTCCCGTTCCGCACCAGCAGCAGAGACGCCGTTTCTCCAGGGACGAGCCCAGCCTCACCAGCCCTGCTGCTACCCAGAACCAGTTTGCAACCAAAAGCAATGAAGCTCTGTGGCAAAGAGGCAGCCGAGAGAGATTTTTATCCCTCCTGGCCCCAGCAGTTACGCTGGATGTGTTTACAGTCGTGCTGCCTTGCAGAAACACCGGCAACGTGACAACCTTGTTATTCCCACATCGGCCCCAGCGGACACACCGCCCGCACCGGCGGCTCTGCGGGTGCTTGGGGACAGAGGAGCCCAACCCCAGCACCGGGCTCTGCTTCGCCGTTTGCTCCTAGTGCCCCTTGGCACCGCTGTGGTTTATCGGCAGGTGCGGGGTGTCCTCCCCGGGCCCCCTCTTCCCGCGGGGCTATTGCAGCAGCACTGCCACCGATCGCACGATGCCAGCCGAGCCGGGGGCGGGTCCCCCCG